TTTTTTAAAATTTTGTTTTATTGGTTAAAGTATTACAGAGAGTATTACATATGTCTCTCCCCCACCCCCCCTTGACATTCCCCGGCCTCCCCTCCCTTCACAAGGAGGCTGGGGAAAGGGGGGGTCAGGCATGGAAGACTTCAGCCACTTGTACAAAATAAAGGCTATAACAAGAGACAAAAAAGAACTCTGCAATTTCACTTCTGGGTATGTATCTGAAGAAACCCAAAACACAATTTTGAAAGACATATGCATCCCTATGTTCATTGCAGTATTATTTACAATAGCCAGGATATGGAAGCAACCTAAGCATCTACTGACAGACAAATGGATAAAGAAGATGTGGTACATATATACAATGGTATATTCCTCAGCCATAAAAAAAAGAGTGAAATCTTGCCATTTGTGACAACATGGATGGACTAAGAGGGTATTATATTAAGTTAAATAAGTTAGCCAGAAAAAGGAAAATACTATGATTTCACTTATATGTGAAATCTAAAAAACAAAATAAATGATCAAACAAATCAGAAACAAACTTATATAGAGAACATTATTATGATGGTTGCCAGATGGGAAGGGGAATTGATGGGGTGGGCGAAAATGGGGAAGGGATTACGATTATAAATTGCAAACTGCCAGTTATAAAAATAGTCATGGGGATATAAAGTACAACATAGGGAATAGTCAATAATATTGTAATAACTATGTATGGTGTCAGATTAGATTAACTATGTATAATCTAATATTGTAGATTAACTATGTATGGACATTAGACTTATTGGGGTGATCATTTCGTAAGTTATATAAATGTCACTCACTATGTTGTACACTTGAAACTAATATTATATGTCAGCTGTATTTTGAAAAATTAAAAAATTATTTTAAAAATTATTTTAAAAAGGAAAAAAGGCCCTAGCCAGTTTTGCTCAGTGGATAGAGCGTCCACCCACACACTGAGGGGTCCCCGGTTTGATTCCGGTCATGGGGAAGGAACCTTGGTTGCAGGTTCCCCGACCCTGGTCAGATGGGTGTAGGAGGCAATCAATCGATGTGTCTCTCTCACATCAATGTTTCTCTCTGTCTCTCCCTCTCCTTCCCACTTTCTCTAAACTAGGGAGATCCAAGATGGTAGCAGAAAAGGTGGATGTTACACTCACCTCTTCCTAGGACCAAACTGTAATCACAACTAAAATTAGAACAATCAACCTGAATAACCAACTGAAGACTAGCTGAAGAGAAGTCTTACAACCAAGGAAAAGAAAGAAAAGCTATTAAGCAAACAGAACTAGAAATACTTTTATAAGATTTTAAGAACATAAAGCACAATAAACTATTTTATTAAGATATAAAAATTCAGCCCTAACCGGTTTGGCTCAGTGGATAGAGCATCGGCCTGCGGACTGAAGGGTCCCAGGTTCGATTCCGGTCAAGGGCATGTACCTTGGTTGGGGGCACATCCCCAGTGGGGAGTGTGCAGGAGGCAGCTGATCAATGCTTCTCTCTCATCGATGTTTCTAACTCTCTATCCCTCTCCCTTCCTCTCTGTAAAAAAAAATAAAATTAATTAAAATATATGAAAAAAAATGTTAAAAAAAAGATATAAAAATTCATCAAAGCTGTTTAATGGAACAATTTAATTTTTAGTGTAAGCAAACTATTTTTAATCTGAAATAAATTTATCTATTCCTAGAACATCCATCAGAACACATCACCATGAAGAACTAGTGAAAACAGAGACTCTATATTCCAAAACCATTTTTGAATCAGTTGTTTAGTATGCATTTTCCTATGAAACAATACTGCAAATGATAGCAAAAGACTGAGAAGCTTAGTCAACTGGCAATTTGGCTGAACTATTGGAATATACTTCTCAATAAGTCTAGTCCTAGATGATTTCTGAGTACATTCCTTTGGCTTATAAATGAGAATAACTTTCTACCTCATCTTCCTTTCCTGGTATAAAGAAAAATTATTTGTCTTTAGTGGTCAGCAGCTGTAAAAAGATAGAACTATGTTGCAAAAGTAGATGGCTTATTCATTTCTGGTACCTATAATTTTGTTTATTTAAGTGTCCCTGATGCCCAATCTACCTGAAAAATTTCTTTTCATTTTTCAAAACCCAGCCCAAATGCTGTTACCAGCTTACTTACCCCTGTATGTTTCAAAGGAGACTATATAGCATATGGTGGTTTAAGTGCACTGGATGGGCTTGGAGTCATATATAGTCTGAACTAGCATCCTACCTCTATTACTGCCTAGTACATGACCACGAGGAGTTAATACTTTTTATTATATGTAAAACATGAATAATAATAATGTTACCTACTCATAGGATTGCTGTGAAGATTAAAAGAAATAATGGAAGTATAACAGTTATAACACTTAGTGTCCAGCAGAGAGTGACTGTTAAATGAATGGTAGCTATTATCTATATATACAAAAGCCTAAGTGACCGGCCGACCATTCGACCAGTAGCTATGACGCATACTGACCAGGGGGCAGACGCTCTAAACTATTTTCTACCGGTCCTGATGAGGAGAATATCATTATTTTTAGTCAAGGTACATGACAGGAAAATTTAATATTTGCAGACTGATTTTTAGGATAGTCTTAGAAATAAAGTAAATCCACATACAATTTTCTTAATTCAGCAACATGAAAACTTCCTTATCACTAGAAATCAAAATTATAAATAGGAGAGTGCTTTACTTTAATCATTAATTTCCTTGAGAAAACCTTTTGAACACAAGAAATAATGCTTGGGTTTTCAAAAGAATAAGGATTTCTAGACCATGCTTATTTGTAACTTGTTTTTTCATACTAGGTTAGTGGATCAGAAGAGATCATAAAAAATGTACACAAATAAGTAAAAATTATGCAGAATCCTAAATATCTCATATGTTATCATGGCTGAAAATCAATAGTCACAGGAATGATGCCCAAAATTTTAGGACAAATTAAATTAAACCATATCTAAGATTACAAATTTTTGTTAATGTTTTGTTTCTTCATTCAGAATGTACTTAGATTGACTACCTCCAGGAGGTATTACTCAAAACACTCAGACTTTAACTGAAGAGTGTATGTAACACCAGGAAAGAGTAATGTCCAAACTTTTTCCTTTGAGGTTTAAATTAACTTACTGAGTGTTTTTCCCCCCTTAATGAAGAGGCTTATGTTACCCATTACATTTCTCATCACTGTGAATAAACATTATTGTACAAATAATTCAAGATTGGATGAGAAACATGCTTTTCCATTAATGTCTTAAAGATATTTATCATTAGAAAATAATAGAGGACAAAGAAATTGACCTAGAGCCACAGTAACAGAAAGTATTCCTCTATCAAAACACATTAGTTTAAATAATTTAAATTACTTAATATAGTACACTAGGCAAAATTATCTGAATTTCATGAGTTGAATCTCACAGATTCAAGGTAGTGCCAGTTTAAAAGTATTCAGCTACTAAGAAATCTGTTAACTGAAATTAGGCAAGTATCCTTTTTTGCAATCTCAGTAATACCACCATGCAGGGAAAAAGAAGAGAAGAGTAAAATGACTTCCCTCTATCCACAACGGTAAATACCACAAATCTATTGGTATATATAAAAATTTTTAGCTTAATTGCAGTCACTTTGACACTTGAGACAAACTATCAAGGGTTTTTAGATCATAATAAAAAATAAAATATTTTTCATGCAAATATTGACTATTTTAGATAATCATTAAATAGGTTTAAGAAAAATAAATCTTCAATATTGGAACAGAAAAAATCTTGTTAAAAGAAGACAATCTTCTAAAATATAATTATAATCAAGAATTTACAAAAAATGAGACATATGTAATACTCTTTGTAATACTTTAAGCAATAAAACAAAATTTAAAAAAAGAATTTACAGAAAACACTTCTCATGAAAGAGTCAGTCATAACCAGTAATAAAGTGTTGTTACAATACAGAGGAAGGAAGAAAGAAATATGTGAAGATCAAAATTTATCACTTACCTCATGATTCAGCTCTGCTATCTGATCTTTCAGTTCCCTAATATACTGGTTAGAATCAGACTTGTTAAGCTGTCCTTGAAGCTTTCCTTCTTCTTTCTGTTTTGTGAAAACATCAAAGGAAAAACAAAGGAATTTTCACAGCATGTACTCAAATACTTGAAAATATAGGACAGCATAACGGCATACCCTTTAAGTGGCTAAATTCTGAACAAATCTGTTCTCTATCTATGAAAAACAATTCAAAGTATACTTTACTGAGTATTCCTAAATAATGCTTAATGGAACTGTTTACAAATCAACAGTTAATTGGGTCTAGTAGTGAAAAAAATTATCCTAGAATTTCAAAGCTATTTATAAATAACATATGGAGGGAAATTCAGAGACGTAAAATTTTTAAAAAAACATTATTTTTATAAAATGTTTTTTCCAAGTATTATATGTAGCATGAGAAATGGCAGTTATTTTGAGTGCTAATGATTTTCTCTCTATAAGAGATTCAGTGCTTAGCTGAGAAGGGAGTGAGCCTCCTCCAGCTAGCTACACTGGGAATCTGCTTTTGCTTGGGCAGCAGAGAAGGGGAGGAAAAAAGGCTCTTCAAACCACTCTTAAAAGGGGAAGACAGCTCTGACTCTGTTCTATTCAATTAGCTCAGGAATGTGTGCTGGGAGTCCTAGAAATCGCTGCTATAGCCCCTCCCTTTATTGCTCTTTATTCTTTTTTGGCAACCTGCATTAAAAACCTTTTATTGGATATGGCCTGCTGAAGCAGTTTGATTTAACTAATATTTGTATAGCTGTAAAACACAACTACAGTTTCTATAGGCTCTAAAACTTTTCTTATATATTTAAACACATGAATATCATATATAAATCACCTAAGCACAGATCTAATTTAACAATTACTATATCCCAAATACTTATGCTAGGCTTCTTATATATATACAAAAGATGCCTATGAATTTTAGCCATAAGCCTTAAGGAAAACACACACATATTTTGAAACTTTAGTTAAAATATTAGTTTGTCGGCCAGAGAAGGGTAGAACCAACAGAAGAGCTGAGAAACCAAGCAGATTGGTTCCTAATTAAATTATTTCAGAAGCCTTTCCTACCTGCTTTTTCTTTTCTTTTTAAAAAGATTTTTATTGATTTTCAGAAAGAGAGAAAGGGAGAGCGGAAGAGAGAGAAAACATGGATCAGCACAACCTCTACCAGGGATCCAGCCCGCTACCCAGGCATACGCCCTGACCAGGAATGAAACCGGCAACCTTTCGGTGCATGGGAGGATGCCCAACCAATTGAGCCACACTAGCCTGGGCAATCTGTTTTTTCATTTAATGAACCAATAAAGTCCCTTTATTATTTGAACCAGTATGTGTATGGGTTTCTATCACCTGCAACCATAATAGCTAAAATATCTTGAGGACTTATCAGACCTTCTCCATTGAGGTTCCCCAAAGGAATTAAGCCCTAACTCCTAAAAGCATCCTTGTATGTAGTGATTTAACTCACCTCCCAAATTCAGTCTGTTTCATGATTATCTTATCCTAACATTTTCCTTGGCTATAGACTTACTCCATCTTAGTCCTGTGAACCCCAAAGTGGGAAAGGATGATGTCAAGTAAAAGGGCATAGGTAGTGAGTGAGTGAAGTGAGAAGAATGCAGAAAAGAGAAAAATAACATATGGAGGGAAACTATTCAGTGACGTAAAATTTAAAAAAAACACATTATTTTTATAAAATGTTTTTTCCAAGTATTATATGTAGCATGAGAAATGGCAGCAGCAACTGAGTAAGTAGATACACTTCCAAAGGTGACTAATTTGGTGAGAATCACTCACTTAGATATATATGTTCAGCTATACTTTTTGATGATTTTTAACTTTAATATCACATTATATTAATTCCCTTGAAATGACTGATTAAATAGAAAGTGTAACCCACTTCTAGAAAAAAATCCTTCAGGACGAAATGGAAAGGCTAGTTATTTGTGGTTTGGGGTCAGACTTGGAGAAAGGTACCTTTAAATCTGGTCCTCAACGAAGGCAAAGTTCTTGAGGATTTTTGACATCCCATAGCAGTAATATCATGTGGGATACAATAGAAATTTCAGGGCAAATAAAATGACAAAGCCCAAGGTAAGCTCTAATGTTGTAAGAAAAAAGTTCAAGAATACAGAAATACTTCAACTTGAAAGGATGAAAAATGACCAGTAACAATAATTAATACCAATTCTTTCCTGTAAAAAAAAAAGTTTGTTAAGATAGAAACCATTAAATTTGTTTTTACAGAAAGTGATCAAGTGATGCCAAAGAGCTGTTTCCTCCAAAGGTAGTCTTAGTAGGGTTTAGCTAAACTTTTTTGTATAGCACCTCGATTTCTTTGGAGGAAAGGCAGTATTTAATAAAAAATGAGGCAGTTAAGAAATTTTACAATAAAAATGGGAGTGTTTTTAACTTAACGACTCCTAAAAGATACTTGTGGAATCAAAGAAGTTCTCTTAGATTTTATGACTAAAAAAACCCAGATGGTCCTTGAATTTTCATTAATTGTAGGAAAAAGGAAGAATTTCAAGAGAAAAACTTTATGTTTAACTCCTATTGTATATAATTGTTCTTTTTAGATTTAAATATAACTTTATAGAGCTTAATATTGGGTTTCTTCAGTAAAACTTTTTTTAAATCTTTATTGTTCAGATTATTATAGATGTTCCTCTTTTTTCCCCACATGGCTCCCCTCCATCCAGTTCCCATCTCACCCCATGCCTTCGCCCCCCCATTGCCCTCGTCCATAGGTGTAAACTTTGTCCAATCTCTTCCCACACCCTCCACAACCCCTTCCCCCCGAGAATTGTCAGTCCGCTCAATTTCCATGCCCCTGATTCTGTTACATTCACCAGTTTATTCTGTTCAGATTTTTTATTCATTTGATTTTTAGATTCACTTGTTGATAGATATGTATTTGTTGTCACTTTGTTGTTCATAATTTTTTATCTTTA